AGTCCCGTGTGTGCTTGCTGGAGAACCAGGGGTGGTACTGAAGCAGAGCTGGGCTAGGTGGAGAATGAGGGGGCCGTGCCCAGCTGCCTGCGGAGATGGTATCCTGCCCATCCACAGCCAGGGGAAGCCCTCGGCGAGGAGCCCTGCTGGCCCTGCTCCCTGTGCCATGTGAGGGAGCCTCCCCATGGCCCTGCCTACCCGGCCTCTCCTGGTTTCCACTCTTGTCTCCACCTGTGTGGTGGCTGCTGTGCTCTTATCAACCTTAGGGCCTTGGGACACTTCCACCAGCCCCTCTGATTCTCTGAACCGTGCCCCAGGCCCCTGTTGTATGCACTGTGCTAGCACCGTTGCTCTGGGTTATAGTCCTGGGTTTGTGGGACAGGTCGCTCAGCGTCTGTCAGCGAACTGGAGGGGGTGGGAGCGTGCCCTGGGCTCTAGGCACACCGTGTGATCTGTAAGTTCTTTGGGATGTGTACCCCATCAGAGGAGGAAGACCAGGACCTGGGTTAGATGCGCAAAGAATGAGGATTCTGCTTCTGCGCTGTGGGGAAGCTCACATCATTCCTCCGTTGTTCAAGGAGCTCCTGTGGGAGTCCCAGGGAGGGGCTCTGAAGGGAGCTCATCCTGGTTCAGACAGTGGAGATAGCTGAGTGTTCTTGCTGGGGTCCTGGACTCTCACAGAGCATTCACGACGCCCTTCTGTGTAGGTCTACACTGTCGTGTGGTGATAGAAAGTCAGCGTGTATTTGCCATAACACATGATGTTTTTTACTCCACGATTTTCCATAAATTCATTTAAGAAAGTGCAACACCTGGTGTTTGGGTTAATCCATAATCATATTATTGGTGATCAGGAGGGTAGTCTCAATTCTGATGGATAATACCCCAGTTGTATTTTTTTTTCTTAAGTAGGTTCCTCTCCTAACATGGAGCCCAACATGGGACTTGAACTCAACGACCCTGAGATCAAGACCTGAGCTGAGATGGAGTCGGACGCTCAATTGACTGAGCCACTCAGGCACCTGTTTTGTGGTTTTTTGGTTTTTGTTTTTTCCCTAGCTGTAAATATTTTTAAGTGGTTTCAACTTCCGTGTCATAAAAGTTAAATTTTTTTTTTTTAATTTCTGGCTCGGTCACTGGCATGATTGTAGCTCAGGTCGTGATCTCGGGTCATGGGATTGAGCCCTACATGGGGCTCTGCTGAGCATGGAGTCTGCTGAGAGTCTCCCCCTCTCCCACTCCTGCTCCTACTCGCACGTCACTCTCGCTCGCTCACTCAAAAAAGCAAATGCCTTAGCCTTTGAGTAGCTGGACACGTATTTATTTTACCTCCACTGTCAAGCTATTTTGTAGTTTGCTGCCACAGCCCATTTCTGCTTCCTCCATGTTTTAGGTTCATTCTGTTGGCCTGTGATGGCCTCTTCAAGGTCTTCACGCCGGAAGAAGCGGTGAACTTCATCCTGTCCTGCTTGGAGGTGAGAGAGCTCCCCAGCGAGTGGGAGCTGTGGGAGCTGCACTGGGGGTGTGGAGACGAAGGTGTCCCCTGGGGCACTTGGCCACCGTGAGCTCCCCTGCAGGGACCCAGTACCTGCCCCGATGGCAGCTGGGGAGCAGCGCCTCCTCATGGAGAGGCCCTGGGGGGGTGACAGGGATCCCCACTCAGTGGTGCCCCCTCTCCTGCCCGCTAGGATGAGAAGATCCAGAGCCGGGAAGGGAAGCCCACCGTGGACGCCCGCTACGAAGCTGCCTGCAACCGGCTGGCCAGCAAAGCAGTGCAGCGGGGCTCGGCGGACAACGTCACCGTGATGGTGGTGCGGATAGGGTCCCCGTGAGGGCTGGCGGGGTTGGGCGGCATGGCGGTGACCTTGCAGGTTCATCGTGTGTGTGTGCACATTCCGTGTGTCTCGTGTACTCCTGTGGGACTCCCGTGGTTGTAAATAAAGGTTTTTTTTTTTTTTTTTTTTTTTTTTTAGTGTTTTATTTTATTACATTTTGAGCAATTCTTGACCCTTCAAGTGTTGTGTTTGCTTTTGGATACACTCTGGGTCTTTCCTTATTAAACTGTCGTCGGCTTCTTGGATTGGCCCATGATAGTGACCCACTAGCTGCTCAGTGTGCCACGTTTCATAGTTGCTAGCACCTTCCCTGTGTTCTCTTGCCCTTGAAATGATCCTGGCTGGGGAAGTGACATTTACAGAAGGAGAGGGAGGTAGGAACCCACCTAGACAGGCTGTCAGAGGTTTACAGGCTGTAAACCTCACGGGGCAGGATGCAAGGCTTTGCTGTGGGGAAGATCGGGTGGGAAGTTACTGCTTTCCAGAGTGGTGTGCCTCACAGGCCCTCCCAGAATGGCATGGAGTTTGGCTTCTTTTTGATTCCATTGGTAATAGATGCGGAGGGGCCCCAACACCGTCGAGCGCCGGTTTCCTGGGACGTGCGTCTGGACGCCCGGGGTGGGGAGTGGGCAGTGTCCTGCCTTGAGTGGTCAGGCTGCCATTTGGATCGGCCCCTGAAGTCCAGCTTCCGCTTTGAGGAAGGTATGTGCGTCCGCTGGGCCCCGCGCTGGGCTGAGGTTGGGCTTCGTGGAGACACTTGAAAGGGATCCTTATGGTAAAAATGTTAACAAATGCTTATTAACTAGCCCGTTCATAAGAATAAAGTGCTTCTCGAGTCCTTGTGTGAAACAGGTCACCCCGTCGCTGTCATTTGTATTTCAGTAAGGTGGCCCTGAGGCCTCTGTAGGGTTTGCCTCAGGATGATGTAAGTTTCTCAGATCTTGCCTGGACACTTCCAGGCAAATGCTTGTGTCCCCGCCCATCCCAGAGCACGCCTTATCACCCCTTCAGCTCCAGAGCCCGGTCCCCGCTGCCAGCACACCCTTCCCCGGAGAGTAGGGCGCGGGTTCCATCCCTGATGTATGGGGGAGCAGGGTGCACCGCTGAAGGCAGGCCCCCAGCATCCCAGAGCTGGAAAATAGGACAGCTGATTCAGTCTGCATCTCCCCACTGCAAACCAGGCACCACTAACTCCCCGAACGCCACTGTCCCAGAGCTGGGGGCAGCTTTAGTGGAGGCTTCCCTGACAAGCCCGCACCACTGTCTTCACGTGGTCTAGCCCCAGCCCCCTGTGCTGGGGGTGGGGGTCACCTTCCACCTCCCCTCCCTGAGTCCCCTGGTCTCCATCCCCAGTAGACTTGGGCGAAGTGATGAAGGTCTTATTTTAAGGTCTGCCCTTTGTCTTTATAACTCTGGATAGTCACATAGCACGAGAATTCTGAAGAACATCTCATCCAGTCAGTTATATATATAAATACATTCCATCTGGTAATATTACACAATAAATATTTCAACAAATTGTGGTATAATACACTTAGGTTAAGAAAAGGGAAGATCTGTGGTTTTTTCAAGGAAAAAATGTCTGAAGGATCTGTGCCTGCTGGGTGCAGAAGGAAATCCAGGGAAGGGTGCGGCCCCCAGCTCTTATCAGACTGCGAGGGGAGGCAGGACCTGGGCTAGCACTTCCCGGTAGGGCGGGTACCATCGCTACTGAGAATCCTGCCGGGCCTGCCAAGGGTACCATGTGGGGCTGCTCTACGTGTGGGGTGTCTGGGCTCCCCCACAGCCAGGAGGGAGCAGGGAGTGGGTTCTTAGTGGAGATGGAAACTGAGGGCCCTGGGGGTCCATCAGACCTGGGCGTGGTCACCTGCTTCTGAGGCCATCCGGATAGTCCAGGTGACTCCAGCCACTGCCGTCTTCTCTTCAGGCCTGACCACACCTTGTGGTACAAGATCCCTGCAGCCACGTGGGGGTTGGGTGGGGTTGGGTGGGGACCCCTACACCTTGGAAGAAACCTGCACGCAGATGCCCATGTCCCTCCACAGGTCCTATCACTGCTTCAGCATCACGGTGGACTTGGGACCCAGGTCTTAGGGAACCAAGACCAGCTTTCTGGGCATCCTCTCTCGGTCTGTTTGTTCTCCACCTGAGCTCAGGGCCGCATGTGTCCCCAGGTGGGGAAGATGCTTGGAAGAACCTCAGAGCCGGCTAGAGCTCACGGGGCCACAGGTGGGTAGCAGGAGCCGTTGGCTCATGGAAGGCCTCTGCTTTGTCTGTTCAGATGAATGGGCAGGGCCTGCTCGTCTCTAATCTGCAGAGATGTTCTAGGTCTTTCATTTGGTGGGTGGATCCCAGCAGTGAGTCAGAACCTCATAGGGGCTGGGAAGAGGCACCTGTCTAGGAGGAGCGGTGCAGGGCGCTCTGCAAAGGCCATCTGCAAGGTGAACTTAAGCATGGCAGACTCTTACTGTCCCCCATTAGCCCCTTTCCAGTGTCGCTGTGGCGCCCGGGGCTTCTGTGCCAAGGGGCTGTGAGACTCTTGAGTCCTGTGGTCACTGCAGGAAGTCCAGGCCAAAGGCACCATTGGGGAGGGGCAGGTGGGGACCAGGAAGCCCCAGGTAGAGACGAGGGGAGCGATGTGGAGGCTGCTGCGCTGGCCGGCACGCTGTCCCTGGGAGGCCTTCGGACCCCGTGCAGGGCACCCAGGCAGGTGACCAGCCTTTCCCCTCCCTGCTGGCATCCAGCAGTCTACAGGAACACTGGAAAGATGGAAAAGGTGGGGGCCGGGCCAAGGCGAAGAGGCTGAGGCCGTCTGGGCAAGCTGCCTTGTAGGCCAGAAGGGGAACCAGTCTGTAGCGAGGAACAGAGCAAGTCCTCCTGGGCACTGAGCCCCACTAGAAACATTGGCTAAGCAACAGCCCAACAGGGTTCTTCTCCTTTTGAAAGACCGCATCCTGAGATCGCTCCTGGTTCTGTGGCTCCCCGTCTGCATGTCCCCTCCCGAGGCTGCTGGCAGTTGGCCACTTCTGGGCAGACCTACAGGGGCACTCAGTGCAGGCGGCTCCAGGGAGCCTCATCCTGCCTGTGGTCTTGCCACCGAACACTACCCAGAGACCGGACCCCGCTTCCGCTCACTGGGCAAGAGGAAGGGCCTGGTGTGTCCGCTCACACGCCAAGGAGGACAGCGCTGAAGTGGGAGCCGCTGCGCACGGTGAGGGAGGAGCCGCTGGCATTGTCCAGGAAGACCGAGGTGTACTGCCCCGTCTGTGGGGAAGGGCAGGGTCAGCCCAGGCTCTGCCGGCCTGCGGGTACGCCCCCCAGGTGAGCATGCCACCGCCCATGCCCACTTGGCCCCCCAGGGCTCTCAGGGTCAGCAAGATGTTCCAGACGCAAAACAGGTTTATCTGTGGCACATGCTTCTCCAGACTGGGGTGAGGGGGGCCCTTCCCCTCGGCCTGGCCTAAAGCCACTTAGCAGAGCCTACCCGGGCCCGGTACTCCGGCCTGCCTTTTCCGGGGGTGGCCCGCACAGCCACGGGCACGCATTCCCCAGAAGGGCTGAATCGGGGGGCCCGCCCACCTTCTGCCTCTTAGGACCCCAGGTGGGCCACGTGGCCCCAGCAGTACCGGGGACCAGACCCTCGAATGCCTTCTAGTAAGCACAGCCGGCCGGCTCAGGCAGTGGGACTCCGATTCCGCTTGAGCTTGAGCACGTGACTTAACCTCTCTGTGCCTTAGTTCCCTTCTTTTGAAACAGTGGAAACACTGCACGTAAGCTACACTTCAGTAACGTTTTCTTTAAAAAGAAACCTCAAAGCACTGATAATTAGATAATTTCTGCAAAGAGCTTAGAATGGGGCCTGGCAGGGTGCCAGTGAAGGGCCAGGTGAGATTCCGTATGTCTGCACTTAGGTGTTTTCTTGTTTAATAAATCCCTTCTTTACATCTGTTTCTCAATCACTCGCCAAAGGCCCCCCCCCCCCCATGCCAGAAAGAGACGGTCAGGTATGGTTCTGTGTAGAAAGTAGGCCTCCTGCCTCTCACAGTCTCCACAGGCCCAGGGTGTTGGGATGGCAGCCTGAGGGCGTGGAGCCCACATCCGCTCCCTCCTGCCTACACAGAGCGCTTGCCCGCCCTCGGTGCAGGATGATGGGCAGGTCTGAGAACTACATCCTGAGCAGCCGAGCATGGGCCTTGGAGGACCAGCCAGGGTCCTTCCCCTGGGGAAGGGGACCTGGAGGTGGCCCCACTTCATCTGAACCTGGGGGAGGCACCCTCTCCCAGGCCTGGAGTCTGCCGGCACTGCTCCCAGAGACCTGGAGCCCCCACCAACACCCCATCTCTTCCTGGTCACCCCCCAGTCGCACCCAAGCCTGCCCCACGCACCTGCAGGTACAGAACACCATTGACCGAGATGGTGAAGAGCTCACTGCTGCTCTCCAGGCCCATGACGGCCTCCAGGGAGCTGTGGTGGAACAGAAAGAGGATCAGCCCTCACCCCCCAGGCCCCACCAACCTCACCCACTGATCACCCCAGCAACCAACATGGGCCCAGCTGAGGACAGTGCTACAGCTGTCTTGGCCAGGTCTTCTGGTGGAGGGTAGTATCTGAACGGGGTCCTCAAGAGGAGTCAGGAGAGTGTCCACAGGGCCAAAGGGGGTCTACAGGTGCCAGGAAAGGCAAGCTGGGGCCCAGGCCAGGAGCTGGAGCAGGGCCGCATGGGCAGCAGCTGGCACTCAAAGGTGGGTTCAGGCCAATCTGTGAAGGCTTCCTTCCGAATGCAGAGTACAAAGTTTGAACTTCATTCCCTTCTACAGCTGTTGTGGGGTGCCTGCTCTGTGCCTGGGCTCTGCTGGGGGTACTGGGAATTTTCAGGGAGCCCACCACCAGGAGGGGGGTGCATGGCTGCAGTGGTCAGGAAAGGCCTCTCTGAGGAGGAGCCTGTGGGCCTCCCAGCGACAGAGAGTCAGCCCCCTGCAGGGGTGAGGGGAGCCGGAGGCTGGGAAAGGTTGGGTTAAGAACAGGAACACCTCCCCCCTCCCCCTTGCTGGAAAGGGAAGGTCCGCTGGGTACCCAAGCACTGACTGGGAAGCCAGGGAGGAGGTGATGGAGGACGGGGCGTGTCCAAGCCTGACCCGGCGCGGAGGGGGCCACGTGGGGGCGGGTCTGGCGCCGGGGTTCCCACTCCACCCCAGCGCCCACTCACGCGTTGTGCTGGCACCGGGACTGGATGCAGATGAGGAGGCGCAGGCGGTCCCGGGGGCGCGGCGGCCCCCGCCTGGGCTGCTCAGCGATCACTGCAGGGGGAGGAAAGCGGGTGGTCACGGCTGGCGGGGGCCCAAGCACTCTGGGGCGGACCCCCCACCGCCCCGGACCTCACCAGCGTGCAGCGTGGCTGCGAGCGCGTAGAAGCCGGCAACGGGCGCCGTGTACTGGCCGCTGGTCAGGTTCAGGCCGGGGCCGCGGCGGAAGGCGCCCTGGGCGTCGGGCTGCGGGACCCACAGAGGTCAGCCAGGGCCCACCCGCCGCCCCCTGCCCGCACCCCACCCCCCGCCCTCCTGCCCAGACTCACCAAGTAGTAGCCGCCAAGTTCGTGCAGTGCGCGCCGCTCCACCGATGCGTCCCGGCGCAGGCGGCCGTGGAAGGCGGCCTCGACGCGCGGCGCCCGCGGGCCCGAACCCAGGGGTGCGGCCACCAGCGCCAGCACGCTCGCGTCTCCCGCCGCCTCCTCGTCCTCCCGGATGGTGGCTGTGCCCTCGGGGGCGCCATGCGTGCAGGGCTCGGGCTCCATGCGCTCACGCTGCCTCACCGCACCTGGCACAGAGCGAGCAGTGGCTGCGCCCACCTGCCCGCCCCTCCTCTGGATCGGAACCCGCCTTCTGGAACCCTGGGATCCCGCTGCCCGACACCCGACCAACTGGGGCTTCCTGAGCCTGCGGCTGCTCCTGCTTCCCTTCAAGCTTTGGCTACCAGGGAGCTCGCGGCCCAGTGCCCTGGTTCTCCTGCCTCCCCTTGCCATCCCACCCACGTGTCCCCCTCACACTGCTGTTTTCTCTGCTTACAGTATTACTGTACCCAGAATGCGGTCCTATAAGCAGCCCCATTCACTTTTGCAAGGAAGCTGGGTGTAAGTAAGTATGGCCGTGTTGCTGGAAATAACATGGAGATCCTTCAGTCTCCAAAGCTTGTGTATTTAAATAAACAGTTCGTGGAAGGGGGGAAAGGCTCTAATAGTTCCCATGATAAAGCGAACTCTAGTAAATACAATGAGCCATGGCTGGGCAGCTGGCCTCGCACAGGGTCATCTCCTGGACAGGACACTTCAGCTGTGCTTGCCCTCCCTCTGCTGCCTCCAGCTCAGCGGCCACAGCCTGGGCTGCACCTGCGCTGCCCACTACACCATCCTTCCTGCCTCCCACCCCCCCCCACCCCGTGGGGGCTCTTGAGACCACTGAGACTGCCACAGACACAGGCAGGGACACAGGGGATCCAGGGGAAGAAGCTGGGGTCTCAGTTGTGGGGCCCATGTCACCTGGGGTGAGTCTGAAATCCCCATGGTTTCTTTGTGATCTGAGAAGCACTTTGCAAGGTTAAGGACCTCTGATCCCTCCCTGACATCCTCACTTGGTGGAGGTTGGGTACAGGTGTCCCGGCCTTGGCTGGGCTCACCTGACTCCCAGAGGAACAGTGGGTCCTGGTCCCCAAGCACCCACTGAACACCCAATGGCCAGTCCACCTTCTCTGCGAAGCCCCAACCTTACCACACTCCTGCCAACACCTGCCTCTGCCCCTTGGCCTCACCCGCATCCGCTGTGGGCTCCTGAGCCCAGCACGGAGCAGGGGCCTCCTTGAATCCTGGCCGACATGGGGACATCTAGCTGTCTCGGCTCCTCCAGGAACCCCTCCTCCAGCCACCCGCACAGGGGCACTGCCCCTACCTCTCAGCAGCAGCTGGAACTCCTTCAGCAGCACCTCAGGTGGGATGATGGGGCCAGGGGGGCCCTGGGGACCGGGGGGACCTGGGGGTCCCGGCAGGCCAAGCTGAAAAGGAATAAGGAACTTCATCAGTGAGGCTATCTAGCAGGGAGGTGGGGGACTGTGGGCACCGTCTGCAAGCTCTTGCCACTAAGAAGCAGGCAAACAGGGATCCTGCTTTGACCTGTGAGGTTGAGGTCAGCTCCTGGGCCTCAGACTCCCCAAGAAGGCAGCAAGGCTCCGCTTTGAAAGCCACTGGCCCTGAGTGTGAGGACTGCGTTGTGCTGGAAGCCCAGGGCTGACTGGGGCGGTGGGGCCTCTGGGGGGTGGGGCTCCCAGCAGGCAAGAGCACCACATGGGGACACAGAGGGGTCCCTGGATGGAGGGCAAGAGGGAGGTTAGCCAACCTCAGTGGGTTCTCTGTGCCTGGCCCCGTGTCGGGGCCTGGGACCCTCAGGGAGCCCACCCTCGGCTGGGATGGAACCCCAACACAGGAGCAAGTCAGTCCCCTGCAAGGAAGGGCACAGGGGAGCCCCAGCCTAGCCGGGGGTGGGGCCAGTGGCTCCAAGGGTGGCAGTGAGGCGAGGTCATGGTGACAGCCCAGCGGCCTGCCTGTGTCAGGCTCAGAGCCTGGCGCTCCAGTGTTGGGGCCGACCTGGGATAGGGTGAAGCCAGCCCTTGTTGGGAGGGGGGAGCAAAAAGCCCAAGCCCAGTTTGTGAGCAACACAGCCGTGGCCCAGAGCTCCCCACCCCAGGGAACAGGGAGCCATGAGGACCAGGTGTCAGGCTTCTGGCTAGGTTGAATGACAGTGGGAACCCTAAAACAGCCAGGGTCCCTGGACTCCCCATCTCCTGGGAACCAGCTGGTATGTCTGTCACTCCAGCCTGACTGCCGCTCCTCCAGCTCAGTCCCTACTGCCCTGCCAGGCCAGCCTGGGCCTCCCTTGCTAGGATGCAGAGGGAGGAGAAGCGGGGGCGGGGTGGGGGGGAAGGTAACTGATGGGCCTGCCTAGTACAAGAAAACTGATCAGAACAGACCTCAAACTCAGGGTCGCCTGGGCCCCCCAGCTTGGCACTTCCTACACTCTCTGACCCCGGGCCAAAGGGGAAGGTCTGTCCTCACTGGCAAGGCCCAGGGTACACCAGTGGGGCTGGTAAGGGGTGCAAGGGGGTGATGGTGGTGGGCTGGGGGTACAGGGAAGCCCTGCAGGGGGAGGCCCCTTGCTCACCACCCCCCGCCCTGGAAATACACCCACACCCACACACACACATACACAGCTGGGGCTCTTGTACTCACCTTCAGCTTCCTGGCCTTGCCTCTGCTTCCCCTCTTGCCGTTGACGCCTTTGTCACTCTGCCTGATAAAGAGCATCCAGGCATCTCTGGGGTCGAAGCTACGTGCTCCCTCAGCGGTGGGCTCCTGGAACACAGTCAGCCCCCAGGTTGGTTCGCCTTCCCCAGTGGGTGCCCGCCGAACACATGGAATTTGTCCGGACATCACCGAGCCCCTGGTCCTTATCAACAGTGTCACTCAGGGCCCTGTCCTTGTCAACAGCGGTGCCCTCCAAGTCAGCACAGCTCTCCCTCCATGCTTCCCTCCCTTCTGACACGTGGAGGACGGCCAGGCCACACCACTGCCTGGGCGTTGTGCGAGAAGATGACTTTGTGAGTGCAGGAAGATGGAATGCAGAGCTCTGGAGCCCCCTGAGAAGACAGAACCGTGGCACGTGGGCCACCAGGCCTCTGGCGGTCTCTGTCTGTAGGAGCTGCAGTGAACACACCTCCTTGGGAGACTCAGCAGCAGGAAGGGACCACCAGACTCACAAGTGCCAGGGAAGAGACGACTGTGATCATTGGGGCCCCTGTGTGGCCCTCTCTGACGTTCGGGGGATGCCCATTTCAGCCTTCGGGTTAGCCACAGCTTACCCTTCGAGACAGTCGGGGGGCTGGTGGACTACCTCTGCTACGTTATGACTCAAGGGCCCTGCATTGAGTCAGTCAGCTTCTTTGGGACCTCCTAGACAAGGGCGGCGAGGGTTCCCGAATCCATTCTCCCCCACGCTGCATTCTGACCAGTCCCGACACGGAAAATTCCAGGAGGTCTCTTCTAAGCAGAGCCCTTTGGCCCATTAGTTAGTGGGCCTTGGGCAGTCTGGGCCCCAGAAAAGGCCTCCAGCTGGGAAGGAAATCAGCTGGAGGGCGTAGATGAGGTCACAAGCACCACGCAGGCAGCTGATAGAAGGACCCAGGGTTTTCCAGCTGACTGGGACCTTCCGTCGGAGACAGAGCCAGGGGTCTCCTGGCTGCTCTGCAGGGCCAGGCGCCTGCCCTCGGGAGCCAGTGTGCTACGGGAGGCGGGGGGAGGACAGGGCCCTCCACATCAGAGGAGCCTGGGGTTGGACAGAGAAAAGCCTCAGAGTGCCCAGGGCCACCCCACGACCTGCTGGCTGCTGGGCCGTGCCATGTGCTGTCTTGCCAGTTGCTCACTGTGGACACAAGACTAGAGTCCACTTGATGGCCTCACTCTGCCTTCGGCGGGGACATATGCCAGCAGTATTCCACGTGGGCTGGATGGGCATGCCAAGCTGACCGCCCCCCCCAAGCTGGACTCGGACCCCAGTTTGGTCTGGGGGGAGCAGAAACAGGCTGGAGCCATGTCAACCAGGGGACCCCAGCAGACAAGCCTGTGACAGTGTGGGTGGGTGCTGGGCAGCAGCGCTGGCCCCACCGAAATCCCCAGCCTTGAGGGGCTCTCAGAAAGGAGGTGGGGAACCTCTGCTACCACACTGTCCCCCAAAGACAGTCCAAGGGCAGAACCCTTCCTAGAAGCATGGAAGGCCCCTTGCCTCCTGGGGACTCTCCTAACATCTCCCTCCTCCGGAAGGTGTGGCCAGTTGCCTGGGTGGGGTTTGCCTTCCCCGACTCCTGGGGTGGGGAGGAGGACTTGGGACGGGCTCCTCCCAGGGAGCCCACAGGGCTGGCGGCTACCTTCCCCCTCTTCAAAGGAGGTGTCCTTGGTCTTCATGGCTCCAAGTGTCCGCTGAAGCCCAGCTGTGCCCGCAGTACCCCTGAGCATCTCCTGTGACAGCCCTCTCCCCTCCCTGTCTGAGAGGCCCGGCGGGCACTGAGCCTCCTTGGAAGCCCCTGGACCCCCTCTTCCCCCAGCCTGACTCTGCACCACCCTCACGGGAGGGTACGGAGCAGAACGAAAAATCACCCCTTCATGGTCACACGTCACAGGACCCCTTGCTCCCCATACCCGAAGGGAGGCAGTTTTTTGGGTTTGTTTCTGGGACAGAACTTCGCCTAATAGGCTGGGGGGAGGGTGGCCCGACAAACAAGTTCCTTCCAATTTCATGAGAATCAAGTTATTCACATTTTACTCACTTCCCAACTTCCTTCTGCGCCGCCCCCCTCCCCCTGCCCTGGCCACTGGTGCTCTGATGTCCCGGAGCCACCCCCAGAGCGCCAGGGCAAGGCCAACTGGCTGCGCAGAGTGGCAGCGCCCTGAGTCTTCCCCAGCCCCCAAGACAAGTGCTTCTGTCCCCGCTTCGGAAGGGAAGGCCCCCGGGTCAGCCCAGGTCCCTGCCCGCGATGCCACGCCTCCCTCTGCCCTTAGGGCACCCGGACCCCAGGGAGGCGCGGGCTCGGGCTGGGGAAACTGAGGCCCGAGGCGTCCGGGGCGTTCTTACCAGCGTGCGGGCGGGCGGCCCTGTGCGGCTCTCCCCGGGGCCCGCGGGCAGCTCGTTTCCGAGGCCCGGCTCCGGGCGGTTGCGGTCGTCCACGGGCTCGCCGGGCTCCGGGGAGCGGAGGCCGGCGGCGGCGGCCAGCAGGCCCGCACAGAAGAGCAGCAGGCGCGTCCCGGCGTGGCGGCGGGCGGGGGCCATGCGGGCGGCGGGTCCCTCTGGGCTCAGAGCTCGGCGTCTCGGGATCTCTCTCCCGCTCCGCGCCTTATAACGCGCTTGAATCCCCCGCCTCGCCCGTCGCGCGTCACAACTCTGCGCCCTCTGCCGGCGTCGGCGCGAAATGCAGCGGCTGCCAGGGCGCGTGCTCGTGCGTGTGTGTGTGTGCACGCGCACGCGTGTGTATGCCTGCCTGTGGGTGTACGTGTACATATGCGCGCGTGTCTGTGTGTGTGCACGCACGTGTGCGTATGTCTGCCTGTGTACGTATACATATGCGCGCGTGTCTGCCTGTGTGTGTGATCACATGCTCATGCATATGTCTGCCTGTGTACATGTACACAAGTGCGTGTGTCTGCCTCTCTGTGTGTGTGCACACATATGTCTGCCTGTGTGTGTATATGTACATATGTGCGCGTGTCTGCCTCTGTGTGTGTGCGCACGTATGTGTCTGTCTGCCTGTGTGTACGTGTACACACGCACGCGTGCGTGTCTGCCTCTGTGTGAGTGTATTTTGCCTGTGTGTACGTGTACATATGTGCGTGTGTCTGTGTGTGCACGCACGTGTGTGTATGTCTGCCTGTGTGTATGTATACGTGTGCGCTCATGTGTCTGCCTCTGTGTGTGTGATCACACGCTCATGCATATGTCTGCCTGTGTGTGTACGTGTATGCATGCACGCGTGTGTCTGCCTGTGTGTGTTCACACGTGTGTGCGTATGTCTGCCTGTGTGTGTACGTGTATGTATGCGTGCATGTGTGTGTGTGTCTGGCTGTGGGGGTGCGCAGAGACGGAAAGTGGGGAGGGAGGGGGCGCTGCAGCGGAGAGTGTGTGGAGCGAGTGAGGCCTGCAGGATGGGGCGCGGAGTAGGAAAGGGGGACATGTGGTTGGGTGGGGGTACGAGAAGGGGACTACCAGGCCGGGGCGGTACTCTGTCACATTGGCTAGAGGGCCCAGTCCTGTTCAGCAGGTCTGGGCTCCATCTCCAGGCCCCAGGTCCCCTCCCTTTGCATTGTCCAGTTCTCAGGAGAGCCAGGGTGCCCATTCACCTGGTCCTGGACCCTCTGCCCTCCTGACACCCTTTTCTCTCCAGGGAGCCGGGTCTCCTCCCTCCTCTGAACCTGGGGGCAGCCCTTCCTTCATCCATTCCACTCTGAGGCCTGTAGGGACCAGGAGGTTTATCGTGGTGGCACCCTGTGAGGTCCAGGCCTTGCCAACACAGGTTTAGTACGTGGGAGCAGGAAGACACTCAAAGCCACTCCCCAGTGCCTCTTTCCCATGTGGGGGCCCCTCCCTTGCGGGGTTGCCTTCTCTCCATGGTTGGGGTGCCCACAATTCAGAGTGGGCTGTCCTTCCCCATCCCTGTGCACCGGAAGAATCCACACTCTGGGACAGTCACCCTGCACCGAAGTGGTTGAACCAAGACCCAGGCTTGGAGGACTGAGCCCTGTGGTGACCTGGCCAGGTGGGGGACTAGAACCTAAGGTCCAGCCCAGTGCCCAGCTAGAGAAGGGGGAACAGACCCTGCAGGCATGGACCCAGGCTCCTCTCTGAAAAGAGCCAGACCACTCCTCGACTCTGGGCTGCTTTGTTCTATTCCCTGCCCACGGCCTCTCTGACTCTGGCAGAAGGCGTGAGGGTAGCATCAAGGTGCCCACACCTGGTGGGCACACTGCGTACTTTGTTCAAGAGTGGGAGAAGGCACAGCTCAGGGACGCACCTTCCGAGGGCCCGCCACCCACATCAGGAGATGACTTCCTCCTCTTCAGAAGAGGGGGGGCCTCACCCAGGCCTATTTCGTGACTGTTGGGAACTGAAAGTAGGTGGTGCCCTCCCTAGCCGGGGGGAGGGTTTGTGGGTAATCCCTAGCCAGGAGCACCCCCCCCACTCCTGCCCTGTTTCAGGGTCTGGCTTCCTGTACCCGATGGGGGAGGTGGGGGGTTCAGAGGAAATATTTCATGCTTTAGAAAAAACCTGGTATTAGGTGTTCCTTGTTCTGTGACTCTGCCTCTTTTCCTGTAGGAGGTGAATATGGTGATCAAATTGGGGTTTTTGGGGGGGGGTATTTAAACAAACAAAATACCGGGCCTACCTTGAGAGTCTGTCCCCCAAGGGGTCTGTGTGCTCTGTGGGGTATCCTTCAGAGACAAATTAAGACTGGAACAAAGAAGTTCTGTCTGTATTTTGAAAAAATTTTTTTTAAATTATCGGTAGAATGAAAACTTTGAAATTTCTAGAGAAACGGCAGATCCCCAAGAAGATATTTGGTAAACACTGGCTTATATGAGATGCACTCAACAAAATACATGAACTTCTTCCATCTGCAAACATTCAACCGTTTTGTCACTAATAAGGAATCGAATCGGTTGAGGCTGTTTTAAAGCCATCAAAGAATTAAGGATTTCTTGGGTGGGTTCTCATTTCTTGTACCCCAAGGAAAGTCTGTTGGGAAGCTGGGTGTGTGGAACTTTGTAGTGATATGTTTGTGCTGGGACATGGGCCTCAGTGTGAACTACTACAGTTTTGTTCAGTTTCATTTTTTCAGGAAGACTTTATCTGGGACTGTAGGAGGCCAAGTGTGGGGTGTGTTCTGTCTCCCAATCTGCTGGTAGAGAGAGGCTCCTGGCCTGGGGAGACGCAACTTGAGATCGGTCATTTCATGTTTCTGAAAACGCACGTCCACACCCAGCCCCTCATCTGCTTTCCACCGACCACACTGAGACCCACATGGATTAGTCCCACAAGGCAGGTGGCTTACACAGGGACACCCGGCCCGGGTTTGGGGCCAGGGCCAGGCCTTCTCGCCCACTGGGCATGGTCCCATCTTCCCAACCACATGTCTTGCCCATTATGGTCCTTCCTATTCTAGATGATGAGAAATATGAGCTACATGATGATCTTGAAAGTTCTTGAAAATGTGGCCCTGTCCTTTCCCTTAGACAAGCCGGTAGCCGTAGGCATGGGATTTCCCATGGGGTCTGGCTGGGAGGGGGGCCAGGGAAATGCATGTGGCCGGGCCACTCTCGAACCCAGCAGGCTCACCCACAGAGCAGTCCAACCTTGGTTGGTAGGTGGACCGTCCCAGGGGCAGCCCTGCAGGGGGGAGGACAGACTTCACTTGGGGGCCACTCGCAGGCCCTGACTCTGCCTCTCAGCTGATGTTGGCCAGTTTGTGTCAGAGCTCCACAGAGTTTTCTTCTGGTTTCCTTGCCTGAGAGCTGAAATCAATGCACACGTGGCTCCAGGCCTGCTCTAGGGCGAGATGAGGTCACAGTGGGCGCTGTGTGGGGCTATGAGTGAGGCTGGCTTGCCTTCTAGGCTGCCTAAGTGGCGAAGGTCCCTGACTTAGGCCATCAGCCCCATGTCATGTGGGGCTGCCCTCAGACTGATGTGAAGACAGAGGCTCCAGGCAGAGCGTGACTGGAACACAGGACAGACTGACCCAGCCGTGGGTCTGCTCAGCAAACCTGGCTCTGGCTTGGCCATCTGGAGCAAAGGTCACATTTGGCTTTGGAGGAGGTGTTCATCTCTCCGAGACTCAGTTTGCTGGTTTGTAGAGTGGGTGTGATGGTTGTCGGCTCTGAGGCTCGGTCTGGGATCCCACTCATAAGTGAGGTGTGAGCAGGCAAAGCCAAGAGCCTCGGCATGGAGGCCGGGCTGCTTGGATGCCCCATTTCTGGGTGGCTGGCCTGGACTCTGTCTGCAGGGACGTGGTGCGTACTGCTCTCAGGCCCTGATGCCATTCAGCCCAACTTACGTTGTGGAGAGGTAAAGCTTGGGCTCTGTCCCCTTTGGCCATGCTGTCACCTTTTGGCCTTCTGGGAACAGAAGGATCCAGTTTGGGGTATGTGATCCTCAGATGTTTGTGTGACTTCATTTCCATCTCACAGTGGGGGGCCCCAGCCCGCAGGACACCAGCTTTGAGGACAGGAGCTGTTGCCATGTGAAAAACGGTTATTTTCCCAAACAGTGGACAATCCTAGTGATGTCATGGGCCCTGCTGGCGGACCCAAATCAAATCGGTTCTGGTGCTGGTACAGGCTCCCGTCACATGGTTCCGAGGTGATGACACAGCCTGGCTCCGGGGCCAGAGAGCACAGAGGGCCAGGGCCTTGCGTGTTTCTGGGGTCCCATTTCAAAAATGAAATCCACTCAGAGGAGGGAGGGGCTTAGGCAAGAATCACACAGGTCAAGGACCAGCAGAAACCAGGGTCCGGTGGCACCCAACAGCTTGTCCCCCTGCGGCAGCAGCCCCGGGGTCAGAGCGGGGGCCGCATCTGGGGCTGAGGTCCTGGATCCCAGGGTGGAAGTACTGAATGAGTGGCCGTAGGAGGGGACCTGACAAAGCCCGAGGTGTCCTCCCCCATGCACCCTCATGCCCGGATGAAACTTAATCCTCATTCTTGGGCCGTCATGTCACGGCCTCAGCCCTGGCTTCCCATCAGCCTGCTGCACTTGAGCCGTTCCCACTCTTCTCTTTTCCTCCAGAGGAAGAACCTCTGCTGATGAAGTCATGGGAATAAAAGCTCCCTTTGCCCCTGAAAACAGTGGGAGCCTGGAGTCAGCCTGTTGTTTGGCCTCTCCATGTCCAGGCAGGCGATCTTTGCTGCTTACTGGAAACTTCCAAACACATGACATCATCTAAATCTCAAATCCTGTGATTATCCCCATTGCACAGATGAGGAAACTGAGCCTGAGATCTTGGGACTGGCCCAAGGTCACTGGTCAGGCCTTTGAAGCTTGGGGTCAGTAGTTCATGCAGTGAAGAATGACTCATTCCTGCTGCATACCAGGCATGGGGCAGGAGCTGAGAATAAGTCACGTGCATCCTGGAGAGGTCTGTGGGCAACCTCAGCTCCCGGCGGGGGAGGGTCCTTTCTCACTTCTACACAGAGCGTCTCTTGCCTTATTCTCTGCTCATTGTTTCCATGCTTTCAATTAATTCACTTAAAAAAACAGACTAGGGGCACCTGGGTGGCTCAGTGGGTTAAGCCTCTGTCTTCAGCTCGGGTCATGATCTCAGGGTCCTGGGATCTAGCCCCGCATCACGCTCTCTGCTGAGCGGGGAGCCTTCTTCCCCTTCTCTCTCTGCCTGCCTCTCTGCCTACTTGTGATATCTCTCTCTCTCTCTCTCTGTGTCAAATAAATAAATAAATAAACCTAAAAACAAAAACAAAAACAAAAACAAAAAAACCAGACTAGCTCGCCTCTCAGTTTTAATGTAAGAGGGTAGATTTTGGTGATAGTGGCCCAGGCTGTGTTCCTTCAGCAAAGGCCCCAGATCCTTGGCACCCTCTCCCTCCAGCTCTCTGTCTGGAGGCTGTGTCCACTCCTTCCCATGCAGAGGGGCGGAGGGCTGGTGACAGCTCCCCACTGTTGCTAGGTGCCCCCCTGGAGGCCTCTTCAGCCCTCGCTGGACGCCCCCCACCTGCCCACACCTTTGTTACACTGCCTTCTGTTACTCTATTTCAGGGGTCATCTGTTTCCTCCCGGGACACTGAAGGATGCAGTGGGCCTGAGCCAATGAATGGGGGCGGCTCAGCGGATCCGATGAGGGGATCTGGCACCCAAATGTTGAGGACCAGGCCCTGGAGTGGGCTGAGCTTCCCCAACCCCAGACACTAGCCCCCCACCAATGCCCCCCATGCTGTGCAGGAGCAGAAGCCGGTCTTATTTTAGAATACCACCCTTCCAACCCATTCGTGATAAAAAGAAGTCCACGGACACGTTGAGTCTTCGTTTTGAAACAGTGTTTGGCTGAGTAGCTTCAATAACTGGAAAACACTGCAGGAGATTTTCATATGGAAAGATTCAGGGATCCCAGAAACCGTCATCTTCACGTCCGTCCACTCCCCCAGCTGACTAGACGGCCTCAGATCTGGGGCTCGTGCTTCTTTGGAAGCAGACCCCCAGGACGCCCTGCTCTGTCTAAGCCTTGGGGTGCAAATTCAATTCTCCCACGGGAAATGGGCATGAGGCTGCAGGTCTGGGAGCAAGGTAGACGTGGAGGGACCCCAGGATTCCTTCCTCGGAGCCCAGGGATGCCAGAGGCTGAGTCCCCGGGGTGTTTCAAGGAAGAGGCTTCAAGGAGAAGAAACTCAGTCCAGAGGGAGGTGGGAGCTCCTGAGGCATCAGACGGTCAGTGCCAGAGCTGGAACCAGGCTGGACCCAGGACCCCCCAACGTACAGCCCTGTGTGCCTCCATGAAGCTCACAGAAAAAGGGGAGGACCCCTTGGCACCAGTGCAAGTCCTTCAGTGGGATACCTCATCAAGGACCAGGGAGAAGGACCGGGGTGGGGAGTGTTGGCACCAGTTCTCCATGGGACCCAAAGCAGAATCTGGGGGCGCAAGGGCAGCCCCGAAGTACCCTGAGTCACACCGTGTGCTCATGGGGGAGCCCATGGGGGCACTGCTACCCTCGCTTAGGAGGCCACCTGGGTGCGAGGCATCAACCCGCCCAAGAGGTGTTGTCAGAAATCCCTGTAGGACCCCCACCTCTCCCTTCATGGGCCTGCTGCTGGGACTCTCATTCTTGCATTGGAGCAAATCACCCCGAGAAACAGGGGTGATCCTGGCCAGAGAGCACACCTTCCTGCTCACCTCCCTGGGAAGACTTCGCTCACCCTCTCTCCCCTCAACCCCCACATGGGCAGCGGACCCTCTCTCCTGACCCCACGCCCTGCTCCTCCCTTCCGGGTGTGAGATGTACATGGGGCCAGAGAGGGGCAGCTGCCAGGTGTGGGCACACAGCTGTGGGCCAGGCAGAAGCGGGCTCACAGTAGCCCGGGGCCAAGCCACCCCAGGACCTTTTCTCTGGGTTGCAGTTTCCTGGACCTTGTGCAGCACCTCCCAAAGCCACAGGTGGGACACACGGCTGGGGACGGCCACCACTGTGTCTCCTGGGCCCCTCGGCTCCTGTGTCTCAGGCCTCAGACCCGCCAAGGGCAGGAGAGCGGCTTCTCCCTGCCATGCAGGTGGTGGGAGTCCAAGCCCTCGCTGCTGCTCAGTGCAGAGTTAGTGCAGTGGCTGCGGGGACTGAGCTATGTCCTCTGATGTCCCTGGTGGCCCGAGACCAGCACTGAGTGGACAAGGAAGCCCAACCCCAGAGGGGGACATCCCTCGGGGTCAGGGTGCAGTCGGGCCCGGCCCCATGGGACGAGGAGCTGCTCAGTGCTCCTGGGCTGGGCTGAAGGGCTGGGTCCACTTGGACACGTCCAGAAAGACGGTCGAGGCCCCATGGTAGAGCCAGAGGCGGGGCAGGGAGCCGTGGCGGGTCCAGGCATCACGCCCACGGTCGTAGGCCTCCATCTCCACGAGGTAGTCGCCATCCATGCCCTGCCAGCGGCCACCGGTCACATACAGTGTGTCACCTAGTGGCACCAGCGCGCCGTTCTCATGCAGACTGTGCAGGGACTGCACCTGTGGGGGGGGGCAGTGGTTAGGGGCCTGTGTGGGGGGTAGTGGCAATGGCCAAGGGAACCCTCAGGGTGGGGCGGGGCACGGGGGGACATGCAGAGAGGACAGCCAGCACCTGGTCCCGCTCCCTGGGACCTCGCCCAGGCTCCCTGTGACCCTCTCCCCCCAGGCCCTTCAGACTGTCCCTTTAGTGCTCTCCTCTCCAGCTCACATCTCCCAGGATGATGTGTCCAGGCTCCTTGCTCTCCTGGGCCCCAATTTGGCCATATGTGGAGTTGGGGTGTCAGATGGGGCTGGGGGCATGGAAGCCCAAGCCTGGAGCTGCTCCCCGGGGCAAGTTCTGGGCTGGGCCTCTGATTCACGGTTGTTCTCTTAGAGGGGACAGTTGTGACCTCGCTCTGACAGACACACACACACACACACACACACACCAGAAGCCGCTCGTGCCATGAGGAACCTCACTTTGCCCCTGTACCTCCTGCCTCGGCCCATGGCCTGGGCTGGGGCTGTGAGGTGGGAGCCAGAGGCCAGAGGAGAGGTGGACCCTTCTGGAAGAGCCCAGAGTGCATGGGAAGGAAAAGGCCTGTCTGTGGCCTACATGTGGCACGGTCAGGGGCAGCCAGCCCCCAGGAGGCCTGGAGGCCCAAGTGGAGCCCTTCATGGCCGGGAGGCCCCCCAATCAGCAGCATGGTCCCGGCAGAGGCCTGGCTGTGGCCCAGCTGGGAGGCCCCGAGAGAAAGTGGCATCCTGGCCGGACCCACGCAGCACCTGTCTCACTGCAGGGTAATGGGGCCTCCCGTCAGCTGGGCGCTGACACGGGGGACAGCTGCAGGCGGCAGGATGGCGAGGCCCCACTGTGGGCCGGCCGTCCCGGGCCAGGGTGAGTGCAGGAAGCAGGCTGCCTCCTCGGGCCTCCAGGAATTGAGAATCTTAGGGCAGGTGGGGCAGGCCCGGGGTGTCTGGCTAGTGCTGAAGCCACAGCCATGGGCACTGGGCACCATCCCTCCTCTTTCTCCAGAAGAAACACACAGAAAGGCTCAGGCCTGAGGTGCCCAGCATCTGCTCTCTCCGTGGCAGAAGAGGAGGGGTTAGCCAGGAGGGAAATGGAGCACCAAGATGTGGGCCGCTCCCACCCCACCCACAGCCAAGGGCTCCTCTCCCCTGCTTGGCCACCCCCTTGGGTAGGAGGTGCCCTCCCTCCGGGGCCTGGCCCGCACCAGGCTGTCCCTGAAAGCTCCCTAGGCTGAGCCTGGTTTTGCCCCAGAGAAGAACACACCTCCCCGGGCCAGGGGAAGAGCACCCATGGTGACCCGGAGCCCCCGGTCCTTGGCTCTCCTGTCTCCACAGGGGCTTCGGGCCTCATCAATCCTTTCACTGCGGTAACAGCCCCAGGCCCCACCGTCCCCAGGCTGGCTTTCCGCACTGTCAGGGGTCCCGGGTTGGGGGAGCCCGAGTCTCACCTTCTGCCACAGGTTGGCCCTGGGGTCGTACACGTAGACCTTCTTGGTATTGTCGCCGACCAGGTAGAGGGCTCCCTGCAATGCAGCACAGCGCGGAGAGGACAGGTACTTGGGGAGGAAGGGCGAGGCGATCATGCTCCACATGTCTGCAGGGACAACACGCCGGGCCCACCTTCACCTGGGGGCCTCTGCCTCTTCCCCGCCCACTGGCCGGGTCGGGTGACTAGGGGCCCCACCTGACCCTGGGTACTGTCAGTCTCCCATGGGACTCTCACACCCACCCTGAAAAAATGGGTTCTGTGATCACCTGCACTGTCCAGAGGATGAGAGGGGAGAGAGGGGGAGACACGGGAGACCCCCTGGAGCCCAACCCTGGCCTGGGGTCCGGAGCCTAAGCCAGCTCCCACCAAGGTTTGCAGGTCCGGGCCCCACTCCTGGCCCCTGGGGCAGGTTCTAGGCAGACGCCGCAGCCGGCAGCTTTGGGACCCGGAGGTGGGCTCCCTGTCACCTGCCACCCAGCCCCTAGTCCCCATCCGCCTGGGCCCCCCCAACACTGCCTCATCTACCTCCAACAGGGCCATGGCCCTTTGTAAGAGACCTGTGGCTGCCTGCTCCCTGTCCCGACACCCCACCCCCGGGCCCTGCGCCGCCCACCTGTGACAGGGTTGTAACACTGGAGAGCCAGGGCGTTGTACTTGCAGGCGCTGGAGCCCACCAGGTACAGCCGGCCCCCGCAGCCAGCCGCCGAGAAGTTGCTGACATACTTGAGGGCGGGGCGGACAGGGGTCCAGACGTCCGTGTAGGGGTCATAGCTCTCCACCTCCACCATGTCCAGGGTGGTGCCTGTCGGAGGGGGGTGGTCAGGGCTGCCGGGGGCCAGGGACGAGTGAAGGGCCCCGGAAACGCAGGACTGGGGGCTTTGCAGGGGCAGCAGAGGGCTTCCTCGGAGGGGAGAGGAAGGCGAGGGAAGGAAGGCATGGCCTTGCAAGGCTTGTGACTTATCCCCTTCCACAGCCGGGGAGCGGAGGCAAGGCCACTTGCCCAAGGCCACAGCGTCAGGTGGTGTGGGTGTGGGCACCTGGACCCGGGAACACTCGAGTCCAGGCTGCATGCCGGGGCCCCCACCTGCCTGGAGCTCAGGACCTTGTGTGTGCTCTCTGCTCTTGGCCTGGGCTTGGCAGCCATTGGGGGCACAGGAGCTGGCCGAGACAGCTGGGGTACCCAGCAGTGGCCTCGAGGCCCATCTGTCACCCACAGAGGTTTTGGGGAGCTCTTGGTCAGCCACGGTCATTTTGTTTTTCAGTATCTGACTGACCATAGGGGTCCCGGGGGTGACTCCTTGCCACAGCTCTGGGGCATAATGGGGGTAAGGTGGGCCTCTGTGCTCAGGCTGGGGGCATAGCGGGAGTAAAGGGGACAGCAAAAGAGAAACCACTGTGGGTCCCCTCAACCCAGGGACTCCACAGAGGGCGTGACCTTGAGCAGAGGACTGAGCTCCCTGTTTTGGGGATGGGAGTGTTCATCTCTGCTGGAAGCTCGAGGCTCCAGCATGCCCCGTCATCATTCTGTTTTCAGAATCCTTGCTGGAGCTCGCTATGGAGGCTCATGCCTGAGCCTCACTCCTGGACATCCAGGCACCCTGGTGTGGGGCTGGTTTACTCCAGATGGCGAGCTCCTGAGCATGTCTCTGTGGTCCCTGAGGCCGGGGGGTGGTCTCTGGTCCCTGGTGAGGAATGGGGGTGGGGAGCCACTGTTGCGGGACTGAGGTGGTGAGGGGCTGCCATGAGTAGGAGGTGGTGAGGGGCTGCCATGAGTAGGAGGCCGCTTGGGGCAGAGGGAAGGGGAGGCCTTACCGCCGATGGCATAGATCTCCCCATTGAGTGCGGCGCTGGCGTGGTTGGTGCGGGCCTTCAGCATGGGGGCCACTGGCTTCCAGGTGGCCTCCTTCAGAGGGAAGCTCCAGGCCTGGGTGGTTGACCAGGTGTCTGTCTTCGTGCCCCGGGAGCCACCTGCAGGAAAGGTCCTGTCCCCTCAGCCTGGGGTCTCCAGACTAGTGGCGGCTGGGTACCAAGGGTCCTGTCTCCTTCTTCTCCCCATGCCAGGCCCCCATGGTGCCAGATGCTGGGCTGGGTGGTGGGGGAGACTGTAGGTGGCACAACCTAGCTGTGTGACTTGGACAGGTCCCTCCCTACCCCGTAAACAGGGAGGATAATTTCTGTGGTTTTAGATCTTCACCCGTGGCACAGCTGTTTTCCTCAACCAAATTGTGTACGAGCCCCCAAGTTCCCGGATGTAAATGAGCAGGGTGACCCTCCCATCCGCCACACAGTTCCTTTGGGGGAGACCCTGGCTGCAAGAGCCTAACAAGTCCCCCCTGGCTTTCCATGTTAGACAAAACACGGGATGGTTCCCTGTACCCACACGTGGACCTATGGATTTTAAATGTCCTTGTTTCCACCTCATGGAAACGTCTAGAAGAGTCCCGCCTGAGCTGGAGGGGACAGCCGATTCTCAGTGGCTTCACGGTCATCAGCTCCCTGGAAGGCGCTGCTGGGAACCCACCTGTGACGTAGACTGTGTTGTTGAGCGTGGCGAGGGAGAAGCCCCATTTGTGGTAGTCGGGGAAGTCCGGGAGCGCCATCCACCTCTCTGGCCGGGAGAGAGAGGGGCAGAGGGTCAGGGTGGCTGAGCTCGCTGCTGCCACCTGCCCTCTCCCCAGCACCTCTTCCCACGAGCAGGGGTATTCCCTCCCTGGGGAGGAGCACGGGGCGGGATTCGGCTGGCTACCGTGGGGTGAGGTGGCAGTTGGGGACACCTCAGCTGCTCCACGTGCCCCTGCCGGGTCTGGTTCCCCAGGGCTCCCACCTCCCCACGCCGCCCCCCGGAGCCCAGCACGCAGACGAGACACAGGACTGCACCCAGGGTGTGCAGGGAGGTGGCCCGTGTTCTGGGCCCCTGGGTTGGGTCCCACCTCTGACACAGGGTAGTATGTGAACGGGCCTGACCTCTGGTCCTTGGTGGGTTAGAACATGAACATTCATTCACTTGTTCCTCATTCATCATTCCTTTCTTCTCCCTGAGCACCCTGTGGGCCATGAGCCGCCACGGGCATGCAGGAGACATGGGGAGACGTGGGCCTTGCAGCAGCCGGGGTGAGTCCAGACCCCCGCTCTCATGCACCACTGTGGGCCCTGGGGACGCATAGCCTCAGCTTGTCCTCTGTCAAGAGGGGTAGTTCACCTCACTCGGAGGCGAGGGGAGCATGGACGACCCGTATCTGTCAAGGGGCTGCTACTCTGTTAGCGGACCTGGGGATTGTCGCCACAGCAGGGAGGGACAGAGCCGTACACCCACTTCGGGCCCACCTTCAAGGAGCTACATGAGGGTAAACTGAGACAAAAGATGAGAAAATGCTTGAAAAATTAAAAATGAGAGTCAGTGTGGGAGTGTGTGAGCAAACGATCACATTTTGGGTGCTCGTGGAAAGCTGTGAGGAAGACCCAGGCCTCTGGGAGGTCCCCTAGGAAGATTCTGTGTACTGTTGTACCGGCTTTAGGACACGCAGAACTCCGGTCTTGCTGGGCACCTGCCCTCTGGGCAGGGACTGCATGTCCCCCTGACTCATGTCTGTGTCACCCCAGGGTGGGGACGGCCCAGCGGTCACCAGGCCTTGGCCTGCCACTGTGCCCCCCGCTGTCCTCCCCTTGGGGTTGGAGGGACAGCTGTTCCCGGGTGGAGCCAGCAGAGCTCATTTCCTGACGTCAGCCCTCAAATCCCCTCGTCAGCCCCTGACCTGGGACAGCCGGTCTCACGCTTCCTGGCGTCCGCCAGCCAATGACGCCATGGGGGTGGCTGGTGACTGGCCCAGGGGGCCTGGGACATCAGCCAACGCTCCTTAGAGCTTTCAGAAGAGCTCTCCAGGGCCAGTGTGGCCCTCCAGAGATCCTGCTGTCCTCCTACTCCTCCCCATTTTCTGGGCAACCCTGTAATGGGGCCCTGGGCAGGAGAGGCCCCTTCCGTGCCCGTCGGGTCCGTGCCCTCACTACGTGAGGAGTCCTTTCCACAGATGAGGACCGGCTTAGGGCGGTGAAGTGAGCTGCTAAAAGGCTGGAATTAGAACCTTGTTTGAGCTGACCTAGTCCTTGAGTTCCTACCCTCTGGGCCACTGCTCCCCAGCTCCTCATTCTCCCCCTGGGGCCAAGGTTCCACAGGGCATGCAAGCCATTGACTGTCCCCCCACACGGGGTGGGTTGGGCAGCAACACCCTTTACCCTGGACTCCGGACCCCAAAAAGGCCAAAGTTGGGGGCTGTGGCTGGAGGGTGAGGAGGCTACCGTGCCCCCGCTGTCAGCCTCCCCTCTGCCTGTGCTGACCTCGAGGATCTCCTGCTGCCCCTTCCCTGGAGCCCCTCAGTCCTTCCACCTGCATGGCGGACACGAGGGACTCGTGGGCCGCAGGGACAGCGTGAGGGCTACTCACGGGCCTTGCTGTTGTAGAAGGCGAAGTTCCTGGGGTGAGGGGCAGGCTCCTGGGCACCCTCCTCGTCCTCCTCCAAGGCCCGCCCACCCACCACCACCAGAACCTCCTCCAGCTTCTGTGGGAGGGCCAGCTGTGCCTGTGGGGGAGGAAGGCTGGGTTAGAGGAGCCGGTGGCTCTATTCCCCATGCAAGGGGCCCTGGGGGCTAGCAGGCGTTTTCTGGGGCTGGACTTTGGTGGGGCAGCTGTGTTGGTGCACATGCATGGGGGCTGTGAGCATGTGTGTGAGCACATGTGTGTGTCAGCACGTGTGTGTGTGTGCACCATGGTTGTGTGGGGCCAGACATGGTGGTAGACTCTCAGGGCGGGGAGAGATGGGACAGCAGGTGCATTTGTGTTTCAAACCTGAGCGCTGCTCCCTCCCCGCAGTCCCCGCACCCATCTTTGGGGCCAACCCTGACTCTGTCCCCAGTTCCTCCCCTGCGCCAGCATGCGGGTGCTGAACTTGGATGACCCTGGCTGGGCGGGAAATCCCAGCAGGGTTCCACCCTGGCTGGTAAGTGGCCAACTGCTCCAAGCTCCCAGGCCCCTGGGGCTCCCCACGTCTCTGGCCCCTCCTGCAGCAGCCTGCACCTCCCACTCCGGCAGTTCCAAGGTGATTGCCTGGCGGGACAGGGCCGCAGGCTGCTGCCAGCACCAGGACGGCCTGCTGTGCCCGGTGGCACCCGACAGCAGCGTAGCTCGCACTTGGTCCCCTCACAGCATGACCCTGGCCAGGGCTACAGCTGTGTCCCCGGGCCTGGCTCCTGGGGGCTCCTCCAGAGCAGGGTCCCGAGCCGGCTGTCTAGCCACAGACAGACTCCTTGGCTGTTTGTCACTGTGTCCGGAGCTGCCCTGCCTGTCCCTCTCACTGCAGCACCAACAGGAAACCGCAGCCCGTGAACACTCGACCCTGTCCCCAAGGGGCAGGAAGGCGCCTGCTGCACTCTCGGCCCATGCCGTCTTCCTGCCAAGCTCCTCGCCCTGCTCTAAGGCCCAGCCAAGGTGCCACCTCCTCCAGAGAGCTCTCCCTGACTAGCCAGCTTGTCCAGGATGCCCCCAGCCCAGCTTTGGCCTTTCTCACACGGCCTTAAGTCTGTTTACAGGTTTGTCTGCACCAAGCTGTGGGCTTTGACCAGGGAGCAGACAGTCACTTCTGGGCTCCCCTCCCCCTCACATCCAGGGTGTGAGATATAACAGGAGCCTTGGGGATGAACAGGGATGCCCTCACAGGTAACCAGCCCAAGGCAGGGAGAGCTGCGAGGTTTGGGGCACGGGGGAACAGGCGCCCTGTACTCCCCAGCCCCATGCAGGTCGGGGTCTCCGGGGCTCCCCTCCTTGCCCCTTGCTCACCTCATCGTGGCCCTGCGACAGGGCCACGCGGCACACCTCCGACTCCCGGATCAGCGGCTCGGTGGCCAACAGCTGCTGCACACAGGGTCTGGGCACGGCGTCCAGGCGCACCAAGCGGAGCAGCTCGGGGAGGTGGACAGCCCGGGCTTGCGGGTCATGGCGTACCCAGCGCAGCAGGGCCTCCAACCGGCTCTGCTCCGGCTGCACCTGCAGCAGCTCCCCGGCCAGACAGGCAGCCAGCCGGTCCTGGGGCAGCTGCAGGAACTCGTCCTCCCGTGTCACAGCCTCGAAGTTCTCTCTCAGGAAGGCCCAGGCCTTGGCGGCCACGCCCAGCAGCCCCTGCTGCTCCCCGAACTCACAGATGCCCAGGCAGTTGGTGGCGTCCAGCTGCTGCTGCAGGTAGCGGCCGCACACCTTCTGCACGGTGGGGAAGTGCAGGCGGGCGGCCGTGCGGGTCAGCGCCTCCACATTGCCCTGCGTGACCGTCAGCCGGCCCGTGTACACAAAGTCCACCAGCTGCCCCACCACGCCGGGCTCCACGTCCCGCAGCTCCACGCGCGCTGAGAAACTCTCAGCAAAGTCGCCCGCGAACATGGCATGGAAGTAGGGGCTGCTGAGTGCCAGGAGGCCGCGGTGGCAGGGCAGCTCCCGACCACCCACCAGAAGTGTGACATCGGCCAGCTTGGGCTGTGAGCGCAGCCGCCGCAGGCCGTCCAGCATGTCCTGCGCATGCGACGGCACGTGGAAATCCAGGTCGTCCACGTTCCGCACCATGGCCACCCGCACCACGGAGAGAAGAGCTGGGCCCCGCCTGCGATCCTGGGGACAGAAGAGGGCAGGGTCAGCCAGGGCAGGGCACAGCTCTTTTGCCCGAGTCACCTGTCCAGCCTGCCGCCCTTTCCATCTTCCACCAGCACTGGCTGAGAATCACAGATGTGCCAAGTGCCTTGTTCAGCCCCGTCACCCTGCACAGTTGGCTTAGTGTTAGACCCATTTTATGGTGAGAAGGTTGAGGCTCAGAGAGGGCCAGAGACCTACCCCCAGCCAAGTAAGCAGAGCAGGGTGATACCAGCACAGAAACCATACCCGGCCCCCTCCACAGTTCTGGGCTATGCAGAGCAGACTGTCTGGAGCCTGGGGATCCCTGGGGCCCCCCCAACTCCAAGTGGCTTCCTCTGTTTCTAAATCTGACCTTGCTGGGGAGGGTGATGAGGGTCTTTGGAAGTTTTCCTGCCCCACCAGTCCTCACTGTCCACAGTTACATGGAGCCTCGGGTTGCCATGACCTTGCTGGGTGACCTTAGTGACAGTTTTCTCAACTGTAGATCCAGAGACTGGCGGGGAAAGGACTCTGTGGTCACAGTGCTCCTCGGGGGCCAGGCCACCTCTCAAGGGTGGCGTGCCCTCCTCACGTGGGCTGCATGACACCCAGGGTCTGCGTAAACGTGGGGAAACACAAGCATGAGAGACTCACATCCCCTGTCCAAGATCACACAGCTAGGAAATGGGGGAGCCAGGCTCGGGTCCCACGTGCTGAGCCCCAGGTTACAGGACCCTGGGTGTATGTTGGTAAAGACAAATACGACTAAGGAGAACTCTCTGGGCAGTGATTTCGAATCCGTGTGCATATCATCAGATTCAGCAAGTGTACTTCTGGCTTATTTAATTACGTGCATATTCTTTTATGTACTCCTGACATTTTACCCCAAGAAAGTTGCCCCAGATTTCCCCTAGAGCTACCTACCTACAATGGTTCAAAAAGCTGCCCCCGGGACATCATCTGTCCACCAGGGGGCGCCTTGCAGAGCCAGCAAAGGGAAGGAAAACAGACGGCCAGCCCCACGCAGGAGCCAAAACCCTTGGTGAAATAAGTAAGATCAGAATAACAAAGGCCTGTAAAGAGAACCGTGACCTGTGGGTGCCAAGGGGCAAGGAGGGCCCTGCTGACTTCGGTGCCGGTGCCAGGGTCGGTGGCAGGAGCTGAGGCCCTTCCCTACACCCCCTCTCCCAGCACGCCTACAGTACCCAGGGAGCCCAGCGAGGACGGGACAGGTGGGGGCCTGGCCAGCATCCGTCCTGCCTGACCCGCTCCCAGGGAGGCCCTCTGGCTAAATGAGGACAGAAGACGAGCCCTTGGCCACTGCCCCCCAGCCTCACATTCCCGTCATTCCTGTGTTCCCTATGGCCAGCCGCTATGGCCTCAGGGGCAGTGGGCAGAGTTCCCACCCGCCTTCTCCCAGGGCCTCAGCTGCGTTTACTGACACCTGCCACCCTGTGGTCCCAAACGAAAGGGGGGGGGGGGCTTCTGGAGAGCCTCAGAGCCTCAGCCTGGTGCCTGTCCAGGCCAGGAGTGAGGAGGGCTTCAGCGGGCGGGACACAAAGGGCCTAAAGACAGCTGCCCCTAGGGACTGGACACTGGGGTCCTGGCTGCAGCTGGAGGAAGTGGTCCAGCCTCCCCGTTGTCCACCTCTCCAGCCAGGACACTGAGGGGAGTGTGCCGGCTGAGCCCTCACCATACCCCAAGGGGCCCAGCTTGACTGGGATTAGGGGTCTGTGTCCAAACACCCAGCACTGTGATCTCTATGCACCTACAGGCTATCCCGCTCTCCCCTGCTGCTCTCTGCCCCAAATCCCACCTCCCATTCCCCGATGTCCACACTCCAGAGTCCCTGGGACCCTACCTCTCAGTTGGCCCTTGGTTCTCCGAGAACTCAGGCTGGAGAATAGGACTTCCCAGCCAGCCAGGGGTATGGATGGCCTGCTGGGCTGGGCTGGGCTGGGCTGGGCACCACGTGGGGATGGACAGAAGGGTATTTTTAGCGCTGTCTGCTTTGGGAGGGAGCAGGGGAGGGAGGGCCTGGTGGGGGAGGGAGAGAGGTGATGCCCCTCCCAGGCTTCAGATCTGGAGGCCCACAATGGACACGTCAGGAGGGCTGAGGTCTCCCGGACCCCAGGGACCAGGACAGACAGCAGAAAGCACTCCAGGGGGACAGTGGAGGCTGGGCTGGAGACTCAGGGGGCGCATAGAGGCCCCAGCTCAGGGCCTGGGTGTGAGCAGGACCTGACGGTACTCACTTCTCTAATGGTCATTGACAGGTCCCCAAGTGGCCTTGTGTTCATCTGTCAACCGGGGAAAAGTGACTATCTCTAAGACATGCCAGTGGGTGAGCAAAGGCTTTCAGAATTTGGGATCTGCGGTGGTGGTCGGGAAGCCTTTGGTGGTTAAAGCGGTGCCCAGAGAGGTAAGGAGGCCTCCCTGAGGGCTCCCCTGGGCTGGCAACGGGGACGCTGGAACTCGAGGCCCCAGGTCATGGAGTGGCTTCAGCCCTGGGGCAGCCCTGGCGTCCTCCTTCCTTGTGAGAGCCAGAGGTGGTGAAGAAATGAGATCATCTAAAAATACAGCCGTGGGGGCATGCAGCCTCCCCCGCAGCCTTGGTTCACAGTGGCCACAGGGGAACCCCTCACAACAGGAATGCAGCGGTGCCCTGGACCCAGGCCACTGAGAGGGGGTCTGCGGATATCTCTTCTGCCAACGGTCAGAGCAAAGCTTCCCAGCCGAGGACGTGCAAGTACATGGGAGAGAAGCCAGCAGCCGGGGAGGCGAGGTGAGTGCTCCACCTGTCGCCCCTCCTTCCTTCACCCGTGTGGCCCTTGTTAATACCACCATTCTCCAGGCATGTGGGATGTGGAGGGTCAGGGAGGGCCGAGTCTGATGGAGGCACCCGGATGCTCCCCAGGGACTGGCCTGACACGGCTCCAGTGCAGGGAAGCTCTGGGGATGATAGCCCCCACTCCTGGAGAAGTTAGGTGATTTCTCAAGGGTATTAGGGTATCATGACAGCTTGGGTCCTAGACAGGTGACCCCTGTCCTGCCAGTGTAGCCACTGGTCCTGCTCCCTGCTTAGGGGATGGTTGTGGGCTAGGAGCCACAGTCCTGGTCCCACTGTGGACTCTGTCTGGTTAGAATTCAGTCCTTACACAAATTACTGCTGCGGCTGACTAGGTAATTACGAGTTTTCAAGGTGCCTCCAAACTCTGCTCACTTGTGCTTTCTGATTCCATGCTGCCCTCCCCAGCCCTGCCCAGCTGAGTCACAGCCCAGCTCAACCTTCCCAGTCTGCTCAATTCAGCCCAGTTCAGCCTAACCCAGTCCAGCCAAGCCTGCCCAGTCCAGCCCAGCCCACTCTTAGCCCAGCCCAGCTCAGCCCAGTTCAGCCCAGTCCTGCTCAGTCCAGCCCAGCTCAGCCCAGTTCAGCCCAGTCCTGCTCAGCCCAGCTCAGCCCAGCCCAGTTCAGCCCACTCCAGCCCAGCTTAGCCCAGTTCAACCCAGTTCAGCCCAGCCCAGCCCAGTTCAGCCCATCCCAGGCCAGTTCAGCCCAGTTCAGCCCAGCTCAGTCCAGCTCAGCCTCGCTTAGCCCAGTCTAGCCCAGCCCAGCTCAGCCCTGACCATTTCAGCCCAGCCCAGACCAGAGCTCAGTCATACCCCAGTCCAGCTCAGTCATAGCCAGCTCAGTCCTGCCCAGCCCAGTTCAGCCCTGCCCAGCCCAGTTCAGCCCAGTTCAGCCTAACCCAGTCCTGCCCAGCCCAGCCCAGCCCAGCCCCTGCTTCAAATGGTCCCAGGGTCTGCACCCTGGCCTTCAGCATCAGCATCCTGTGGTCGCAGAGGGAAACACTCATGGGCGTCTCCAGCTCTCTTACCCAGGACCATCCTGGGGACACCACTGCAGGGGGAACAGAGGTGTTACTCCTGTCCCCTTGCTTGTAGCCAGAACACAAAGGGTTAATGTGCACCCAGCCCAGGCTGGAGGAAAGAGAACAGGGTATTCTAATGACGGGGCCCCTGACACAGGGAGCTGCACCCCCCAATGTGGGGAGAGAAGACATACCACCTCACAGCTCATGTCACTGGTCTGTTTGGGAAACTCGACACCAAGTGCTCAAAACAGATCTTTATCTCAGATTGCTACAGAGCGGGGCAGTTTTTAAAAACACGTTGCTTGTTTCTTTTCATGATGATAAAAATAACACATGTTCATCCTGGAGTGTTTGGAAAACACAGGAAAATCCGAAGCAAAACACTTCGACCCGTAAAAGACGATCCCCATGAACACAGGGGCCTCTCCCCTCCAGTCTACCCCGCGCCAAAGGCTGCGGGATCTGTGCGGGTCCTGTTTTATCAGTTTATGTCACTGCCCCAGCATTTCTGATGCCATCAGTCTTTGAACGTATCATCTTGGATTTCATCATACTGTGACTATATCACACTTTAAAAATTCGAAGGGACATCCAGTTACTTCTATTAATGGACATGTGGGTCGTGTCATTTTGGGCTAAGATAAATAACCACGGCACCACCTCCGTGATTCAGAGTCAGAGAGTGAAGTCATGCATTAGACTGTGTGCAGCCCAATAAACCTCCTGGCTGGTGGGCCTGGGGGCCAGTGTGGGTGACTGAGGCTTTTCCTCCAGCGGGAGGGGACGCTGGTACCTATGCCTGGCCCGGCACCCGTGGGTGGTGAGGCCCCTGTCACACCTGACCTGCCCAGCCCCTCCTCGGGGGTTTTATAGCTTTACCTGCTTATGGTATCTCTTGTTCCATCTGGGATTTATGTGGGGCAGGGCTGCCCTGGGGTCCTATTCCCCCCACCCGCAAATAGTTTACCAGCACTCTGGAGACTGCTATCGACCATTCCTTCTTTCTCCCATGGATTAGCTGTGGTGTCTTTGTCTTAGGGCAATGTTTTCCGTGTGAAACATCTCAGATTTCTCTGCTCT